ATGGAGAAGCTGGAGTGCCGCAAGTGTCTGCCTAATTTATACGCTTTGTCACCGGAAACAAGAAAAATTCATTCGGTTGTCTGATTCTGAGATCGAGTACAGAGGATCCTAGGACTGAAGTCGAAGAAGAGGTGTGGAGCCCGATTCGGCTTTGCGTGTTAGATATTTGGTGGAGATGCAGCACATAGGGATATCCGGGGTGATGACAAGAATCCTGACGCGCTTGGAGGATTTTCGACTCATGAGAGGTTTGGCGAGAGATATTATTTGTAGCAGGACCTTGACAGCAACAAAATGCGTCAGAGATTTATGGTTTTCCCTATAGTGATCGTATCCAGTGGGAGCGGATGATTCTTAGGCAACGACGTACTCACAAAGCTACACAGCAGTTGGCAGATGCGGAAGATCGCACCTTGCGCACGACTCGGAAATTCGGCAACAGAGAATATTGTAAGAATTGGCCAAGAGCCACCGGATGATAACCAAATCCAAAGAGTGATTTTACAGAAAGTCGTTCCTCAGAGAATATGGAAAGCTGTTTGAACGAGAACATTGAATTAATTACCGAGAAGTAATCCTTTAAGTGAGAACAGACAGGACTTGTATTTACCTGCAAATAAGTTGTTGTGCAGAGTATAGCCCTCCGTATATACGTATGATCTTCCTATCAGCGACTGGTCTTGAGGATGACAGCTCGCTGAGCGCTCGCGGCTCGTGCCGTTGAAAAATCAGCCTAAACCCGGCCCTAAAGAAGGATTTAGGCTCCGAAACATGCCGCATAGAGCCGGGAATGGCGCATCGAACCAAAAGACTTGCGGAGATCTAATATTCTCCTCGCTCTAGGAAAAGACCTACTTGTCCTCGCCAACGTTGAATGCTAGTACCGGTGATTAGAGCCGATCATTTCTTCCTCCGTTGTGTCACCGTGTAACGTGTAACCCATGTCCAACCCTAGGGTTAAAAAGTGAAACCTGGAAAGCGCTTGAATCTGGAACACGCCCCTTTCGTAGTATCCTCCTGATTCTGTACCACCACCACCACCCTATCCCGACATAACTGCATCTCGCACCAGAATGTCAACGTCTCTAGAACCAGAGCACCCTATCGTCACCTACCTTAGTATCCAGGAACGCCTCGGAAAACTAACAAGACAGCACAGAAGTCTACAGGTGGAGCGCGATACTCCTGTTACAGAAGCTCTAAACAATGTCGTCTCCTATCCATTTATTTCTTTCAATCTGAAATCCTACTTGAGCAAATACTTGTTTATGGGTCCAAACGAGACGTCCTTTGGCAGTCTTGATTCCCCAAACATCGAGGCCATCCACTCCCGGAGTCAGCCTTCCTCTTTTGGAAAGGGCGACCAGACAATTACAGACCCGACGTATCGTGATGGTCGCGAGGTCCGCGGAGAAGATCTCAAGTGGTCCAGCCCTGGCCAATGGACCCACTACAAAGATACGTTTTACCACCTCACTTCAGATCTGCAGAATGTCCTCGAAAAAACTCTGTTTGTCCGAAAAACTGTCGAGGTCAAGCTGCACAAGCTGGCGATGTACAACAAGGGTGGGCACTTTGACTGGCACCGTGACTCGACGCACGGGGAGAACCATCATGCCACCGTCCTCGTCGCATTGAACACGTCTTGGGAGGGCGGCTCGCTTCTCCTACGCCACAATGGACAAGAGATGACGGTCGACATGCACCCCAAGGTCACTTCCATTACAGATCAAGAGACTTCCGAATCCAGCAATACGTCCGGATCTGAAGACGAACCCGACACTGAGATTAGTCTCAGAGCAGCGGCTTTCTACACCGATGTTGAGCATAAAGTCGAGCCAGTAACGGATGGGGTGCGATTGATACTCCAGTACGACGTCTTCGTCTCTCCTGAGAAAAGTGAGGAAGACGACGACTTCGACAACTCCTTTTCGAATCTTGACAATGTTAGCGGTAAATCGCGTCTGGGCTATGACGAAAAGCCTTATGACAACGAAATTCAAGTCCCATCTGGCTTCTCAAACGAGACTTCCCTCTCGAACCTTGTCGACGCCATCCAGGAGATTCTCGTTAGCGGGACAGAAGAAGTAGGCATTCCGCTCCGCTACCTCTATCGCCAAGCAAGCATTCGGAAGGAATATCTCAAAGGCGTCGACGCCATCATCTACGCGAAGTTCAGCCAGATATTTAATGTCTTCCTCGTTCCGGTGATCCTCGAGGAGAGTTCTCTGGAAGGTGAATGGACGGGGGAGGAAATGGCGGCCTACAAGGTTTTGGATGATGAGGAGAAAGCTGGGCGCTCCAGCAAGAAGGCAAAAACCTCCACCGAGTTTCATTTGAACAACGTTTCAGATATCTTGGAGATTAGCAGCACTGAATATATCGAGCACACGGGTAATGAGGCGCAGGAGGCTGATTGCAGATACTTTGGAGGAGGAATGTTCCTTCGCGCGAAGAGTTCGCAGACTTAGGTGATCCGCGACCTTGTTTACATATTTTTCTGACAGATTTAATTCAAAGACATGATGTATTATTACTTGAAATGTAGTCTTTCGATTCTCCTCTACCTTGCGCTTGTGTAAGGTTTACAGCATACGCGAGAACATCGCGTTCCATGATACAAGATTGCACCCTGCCTCGCCGATATATGACACTCTGAATTCTTTAAACTCACCAGCGCAAAACCTGAATGCAGGTACCGCGTAAACGAAGGAAATCTCCCATTCAATCTACTATAATACAGAAATTCAATTCTATGAATCCGTCACGCCAATCCACTACTAGAACCCGAAACATACGAAGGCGGAGGCTCGTCCGTATACCCGAGAGCCCACGCCGACCCCTGCTGCTCCGTCAAATACCTAATCTGTCTCTCCAAACTCAAAATCAGCCGCCTCTGGCGCTCATTCTCTTCCATCAATCGGCCTTCAACATTGTTCTGCTGCAAAGTCGCAACCTGCGCTCGTAGTCCCTCTGCTCGGTCACGTAGTAACGCTTGTCGTATTGTCAGCGCTTTACCGGGAGACCTTGATGAGGTTGTTGTGGACTGCACTATTGCCGGTGTCAGTGTAGATGCGGTCGTATATGGGCGTGGTGTGGTGGTGTAGTAATCTCCCTCTCCTGAGGACGGGATGCCGTCTCTGTTCCTTCGATATATCCAAATGCTGACGCCCGCGATGATCGCAACTAGTCCGAGAGCCCCACATACGCTTCCAGCAATGACAGCGGTATTGTTAGATGCAATAGCCGATGGTGAGGATCTGTTCGACATCAAATACTTGTTTCTGGAATAAAATGAAAAGCACTTGCGATGGTGTTAAAGTGGCGCTTGGGACTGGTACGCTGAAAATAATGATAAGACTCTTGTTCTATTTTGCGGACAAGAATACTTACATGCTTCTTGTGGTAGGAATTCTAAGTGTCGTAGATGGAGCGGATGTCGTCGTCGATGTTCTGGAGATCGTTAGGACCCCGATGAAACATAGATCTGATTGTGACCGACGTTTGGGGGTTTGATCTGCAGGAAAGAATACATCAGCTCTGGGTTCCGCAGCTTTCAGGGAAAGATCTTCACACTTGTACGGCTTTAGCAGCGACGAAATTCAGAGTAAGGACATCTCTGGAACGGTATCTGGGTTTCAGGATAACTGCCGAGTCCAAAGTGAGCACTTACTGAGCAGTTGGCGCTGGTGAGTCAGGGGTTTGAACGCTGATTATATCGCTAGTACCGAGGATATCGCTTGACGAGTTCGTCCTGTCGAAAGAGTCAAGGAAGGCAAAATAAAACGGTCTTCAAAACGAACGTTTGGAGTGCTTGGATTTTCATCGCTTCAGCAATGTACGATCTTTGAGTTGTTAGATCTCATATAAGGATCATACTAGTCTACGCACCCTTCGGTGAAAAACTGCACGAAAAAAGTCCCCTTAGTCTCCTCGATACCTCCAAATTGACACCAATATGGGATAGTCGTCGTCGAAGGAAGCACGTCAGGTCGTCTCAATCGGAAGGCAAAACCAACTGTGGTGCTATCGTCTGCGTCCCTCGTCCATGTCACGCTGGCAGAGGCGTTAGCCACTGCGGTGCCATTGAACTGAAATTGCCATGATGCTGCATGAGGTACGAAAAGGATGCTTCAGGTGCTTGATTCAGAGATGATTAGAAGAATGAGAAATGGAGCTCACAAGAGTAATAGAACGGCCAGCATTGATAGTATAGAGAGGAAGTCTAAGGTACAGCAACGCTGCCCACAACGCCGATAGATATCAATCGCGATGAGCGACGATCATTTCGCAAATTGTGCCCAAACTTAGGCTGAAGAGGCGGGGATCAGATACAGATTGATATGAGGAATTGAAACGGCGTACAGAAAGAAGGTATCCATCTCCAGACAACACATACCTGCACTGCCATGAAAAACTGAGCCAACCTATCCCTCTAACATTCCTTCATCTACAACCGAGTTTCTTGCCCAGAATCGCCTAGCAGAGCCCTAAGTACCTGAGGCCGTTTTTTCGTTAGCGTTGAGGTGGTGCTACGTGGACCGCTCCTGTTATCGGAGAGACACATCCCGGGAGATACGACCGAAATTTTGGTGGATATATAACTTCAGGATCGAAGGAGATGGTTACCAAGACCGGTGACACCTTGGTTGATAAGTCTTTTGAACGATCATCAGCCCAAAGGATATTCAATGTCATTCCGGCCGGTAGACAGAAGTGCTTCAGACTGAGTCTAGTGAAGTCGAAGAGGAGTATTAAGGGCGTGCTGAGAGAAGCAAGAGAAGTTACGCTCAGGGTTGTGACGGATCACGAATTCGCGGGAAAAGCCGCTGCGGCGCCAGAATCTTTACCGGCGGCCCTTTCGGTCCTTGCTCCGACTCTCAAAACTTTGCTCGTTCAAGATCATTATGAACGAATGAATTTCTAATTTTTTTGGGGGAAGTTTAAGTCTGCTAGTGACTCTGCTGAGCTCATATAAAAGATAAACAGCTGTCTGCATATGCCCTATGGCTGAGTTGGTTACAGCGTCCGACTGTTATTATTCATATAGTTGCAATATCGGAAGGTCGAGAGTTCGAGCCTCTCTGGGGCAGTGCGCAGAACACATATATATTGTGTAATATTTTGTTTCTTATCCCCTTAGGTGTTAAATTAGATCATTCACGACCATTGATAATAATAATAATCAAAGAGTTCATCTTCGGTACTGCCACAGTGCAGCAAAATTCCCGCTGTGAGGGTTTATTCCAATTTTCCCAGACCCTTTCCATCAGCAACTTCCCGATTAATATTTCTGATTTTACACCTTATCCGGCAAGAGCGGGGTATGGTCACCTTAGAGCAATGAATTCCTTACGTTTCTGAGACTCAGCGTAAGCAGCCATGCCGGTTGCCTTCTTCGAAAAGTGGGCCCTTATGCGCCAGTCGGGTCCCTAAATGTTGCCAAAACGGTAACAAGAAGGTCAGCGCAGAACCTTCAATTTGTAAGATACGGAGAATTCTATATGTGACATCGTATCTTGTGAGTCCGTACATGTTGCAAACGCGAAGGAGGTGAAGACGCGTCTGTGGCGTGAGAACTGTTATCTCGTGATGACAGCCTTTCCATTTTAGTAACCATCTTCCGTTTCTGACCACCACCACGTTCTCGAAAATATTGAAGGCTGCTCATTTATCAGCCAAGAGAGACATCCGTCCTCATTTACAAGCCCAGAATGAGTAGGTACAACATATTGTGCAATGGCGCCAGATGGTATTGATCTCTCACACAGGCCGCCGACTCGCGCTGTCCCAAAATCCTCATTAGACGTCTTCGCAATGGCTTTCTACTAAACTTTCTTCTGAGAAAAAATGACCTACTCAAGCTACACATTGTTTAGTGAAATGCGAACGAACGAACCGGAATCCCTCTTCGTAGGTTTCCTCTTCGGCTGTTCGTGCTTTACAGTAACTTTTTCTCCCATCTCAGAATCTCTACGTCCGTCTGAACGTGTGAATACTATGTAATCAATGTGTGATCATCCGTTAGTTCTGCGAGAGTTGGACCGCGGGTACGCCCTGTATTTCTTTCCTCAAAGAGGACATCAATAAGAACCATGTCTATACGCCTAGTACGTATCTCTGTCGTACAGATCCTTCTGCAACTTCTCCTTATCAAATAACAGATGACGACGCCCTCGTTTCTCGAGCAAATTTTGTCGCCTACGTATTGTATGTCCGTAAATCACCAGGTATACGTTCGTCTACCTCTTCAAACATTCTCTTCTCTGACGGAGAAGCTCAGCTCCATCGCTCAGAACATCAAAAAAGAACAATGCCAAAGGATAATCCAGTCCCACGGAATATGTTCGTCTCGAGGAGGACTCAGGGCTAACAAATTCTAGATGCATGATCACGAATTCCGTTCCTTTGATCAGCAACTCGCATCAGCCCGGTCTCGTTCGCCCTCCCTGTTGCATCTCGTGACTGCTGCGCCTCTCCTTGGACTGCCAGCAGTCAGAGCCACCCTCCGTCATCATAGTAAGACTCCCTTGTTAACCTCCAGACGCAGCTCACCCCCTTTGCTGAAGCTGTCCAAACCGATTCGTCCTCTGTCCAAGCGAAAGTTGCCCGGCGGTTCCTGACGTCGAGCGCCGCCGCACTTTGAACGACGTTTTAAAAAGATCAGCTGCCCCCCCCCCTTATTTTTGTCCATTACATCGTCTTGAGAAGGACAACATTCTGCCGCGGGTCGCATATCAGAGGCCAGCCGATATGCCCTGCACACGCTGAGCGGCCATGAAGACATCAGCTTGATAGATACCGCGACAGCACGAAAAATTTCTCGGCGATCTGGTCAGCTGGGAGGAAGTAAAGGTACTCTTATTCTTTCCCAGCCTTGCCTTCGGTGATGGATTTGCAGACTGTTACGTCCAGAAGACCTAGCAGGGAACTTCGATGCTTTCCTGGAGCCTTCACCGATGATTCTCCTTTGAGCTTTACTCGTGAAGGCGCTATTTTTACTCGTAGGATGATATTCCCACCGACGGCGGTTGTGGAGGCCGTGAGCCATGCGGAGAATCCTTGTCCTAGAATTGACGGTATGCGAAAACGATATACTCATTGGTCAAACGAGAGCGAAGCATGGGCCAGAGGAGCGTCCACTGTGCACTGGCTTTTCTCTCATCATGTGCAGTCCTCAAATGCTCCCAGCGCTTCGTATCCTGCTATGACGCTTTCATTATGTTCCGTAACTTCGGCTGTCGCTTAAAACTTCATTTTCCTGTGACGACACCAGCATTCCAAATTCTAACTTTGTTGAACTCAGGCCCTCCACTTCTTGGGCCTCGGCAAAGCGGTTTTCGTCATCGTTAAACGGCACAGTATCGCTTGGGTTCGAGCGTAATAGTTGCCTTATCATCGGGAATCATTCCTACTCCACAAGGGCGTTGACTCTCCGCGCCAAGGCCAGGCCTCAGTGCCGTTTGAAATTGGCGCCCGGAAAGTGACCGACGCGCTCACAGTCATCATCAGCACATGCCCTCCTCAGACTACCCGCTCTTTACCTCACTACCGCCGTCCATAACGATTTGCACAGTCGACAAGAGCCATACTCATAATGCACTGCTGGTTATCAAAATGAACGGTAAACTTGACGGACCATTACCGAGCATCCGTTAATTCACCGACTTTCCGATTTTTTTCACTTCGAGCACATGTGTATGCATGTGGCATGACTGAATGAGAGGGACGAAGTAGCTTGGGACTGCGGTACCGGGTCGTCTTAGCGATGCGCATTTGGAAGTCGAAGCCTTCGAGCGAGGGGGTGGCGGATCGGGTGCCTGGCGTCGAAGCATTATTCCTCGATACTCCTTAACCCCATTTCAGCTCCCTCCGCTTACGGGCTCTTCCTCGAAATGGTTTCCCTCTCGGCCGGTAGTCGAACATCCACCGGAACTCAATTTTTAATAATTGAAAACCGTAACACGAAGCTCGCTTCCCTATACGAGAATGCCTTCTTTCATGGCTCAACAACACGTAACCGGAACCTAACGCGAACGTGTGGGAACAGGAAGAACGGTTTTATCCTTACGGAGTGGTTTTTTTATAGTTTTTCATCCTTCATGCAGTGCCGTGCTCTCGTCCTCTGATGGTCACATTTTCACATTTTAGGCGCGGACCACGATGATCTCATCGGGTCTCCAGCTCAGGGCACGTCTCGAAACACGAGGATTTCTCCTTCGGCCAAGAATCTCAGGCCCTGGGCTATGAAATGCATGAACCGAGTTGGTATTTTTATGGTAGCCACTGCGCGGGTCAGAGGAGAATCCTTTAAATTCGAGCGTTCGCTGACGATAGAGCTCATTGAAGCGCACCCATGTTGCTCTCGACCTTCTTTATACTCTCTTCACTCATTTATACCGCCCTTGCTCAGCAGAGCAATGAGAATCCTACCGTTGGCGGTAACCAAGATGACGGCTGGCAGAGCTTCCCTGACGTCGTCGATGCTACCGGGTATCCTAAATGGGTTGTCGATGAGGACCTCGGTGCATATATGGTGCGCCTTTCCCTCTCTCTTCTTCCACAGGAGGCTGAATCTCTGTATAGCCTGTATACCAATCTTCGGGTCTGAATGCGACAGAAGTTACGAGGGCAGTCATCGTCCTACACGGCAAGGTGCGCTAGAATCTAATTCGGTCTCCATTTTCTGATTCATTGACGCTGTCAACAGCCCCGGGACTGTTGGTATTGTAAGTCTCGCTCATTACTTCCCGCATTGGCCCGCGGCGCTGACGATTGCCCCTTAGATTGGAATGCAATGAACAACGCCCTTTACAATGCCACTTATGATGACCCTACCATCGTGCGCGAGCATATATCAATCATGGGCCCGTGCTTCTTCGACGAAGATGACGTAACCGCGGGCGCGGCGGAAGAAGGCCAGCTCCTTTGGGGAAGGACGACGTGGATCAGTGGACATTTGAATGTCGGGCCCGACTCTATCTCCGGTTACAGCAGCTTCGATGTACTCGACTCCCTCATTGCGTATTATATGGACAAGAGTGTCTATCCTAACCTAGAGGTGATCATTTTTCTCCGTGTTCAACGATGCCTTTCTTACTCTTTGATGAAGGTTGTCGTCGTTGGAGGACACTCAGCTGGTGCCCAGATGGCTCAGCGCTACGCCGCCCTGAGAAGCACAACAGACGACGATGATCGGTTACATTTCTGGATCGGTGAGCTCTATTGATGTTATTCGCGGTGATAGTACCTCATTTCTCACAACGCTTAAGCGAATCCGGGATCTCTCCTCTGGCTAACGTCAGACCGTCCGGTCTCGGTCGAAGATTGCGATGGTGTAGACGACTACAAGTACGGCTTGGAGTCCAACTTCCCTGCATACGCAACTGCGGATGCCCGCAAACTGGGAAGGTCTGGAATCGTTGAGAGGTACAATGGCCGCAACATGAATTACGCCTGGGGACTGGTGAGTGATAAAGATCTTTTTCCCCGACTGGCTGCTTACCTGTCATCCCAGACGGATTACGCCAACGGAGACCACAGATGTCAGGCATCCGTGAGTTCTCCCGAATCATGTCCTGAAAATTTCGACTGACGACGCTATGTCTCGCAGGCTCAAGGAAAGAACCATATCAGGAGAGGAAAGAACTTTGTCAAGATGTTGAAAGCTATGGGCGGTCTCCCTAATCTTACCACCGTCGACTACGCGGAAAACATTGGTCACTCTAACGAGGGAATGATGACAAGTGAGGGCGGGATTGATAAGGTGAGTCCAATTTCCTCTCATGGACGCTCTCGTAACTCAGGGCTGGATAGTTATTCCGATATGTGTCGAACAGCACAACCACCTAACGCGACAACGTAAGGTTCCATTTGGACAGCTATTTTGAATTATTCAGGTTTTTATGGACTCGTATATATCATTTATCTATTCATTGCTCTCGTCGGTCTATTACAAGCTAGACATCTTTTCATATTCTTGAATGATGACAATTTTAAATCAGATTCAGGTTGCTACGCAGCAGCGTTCGCTCCCGTCGACGAAAAATCTGCTGAGATTTCCCGGATCTGATGCGACGAAATCGCACTGGGT